GGCCCATGTCTAATCACTTCCCTGCAGATTAAACTCGTAGAAGATTAACCAGAGATCCAAACAGAGAAGCTCTCAGTGGAGAAATTATGAAATGAATTTTTAAAAGATACACACACACACACACACACACGCACACACACACAGCCTTGGGCTTGTGGAAATAATTTAGACTAGACAACCCTGCTATGAAAATCAAGCATTGCCTTCCCAAGCATAAAGTCAAAGGCAGGGGCACCTGGGTGGCTCAGTGGTTGAGAGTCTGCCTTTGGCTCAGATCATGATCCTGGGGTCCTTGGATCGAGTTCTGCATCGGGCTCCCCGTGGGGAGCCTGCTTCTCCTTCTGCCTGTGTCTCTGTCTCTCTCTGTGCATCTCTCATGAATAAATAAATCTTTAAAAAATAAAAAATAAAATAAATACAGTCAAAGGCATGCCTGGACCTGAGAACACTCCAGAAGACCTCTTCCTCCCCTAGTCCCATCTTGCCTCATGCCATCTTGTAGTGACATCTGCACCTTTCAGCGTCTTCTCATTTCTTTTGAGACTGTGAGGACAGATTGCCTAGGGATGTAATTTGGACCAATCTCACCAGAGGTGTGTCTATTTTCTTAGATTTTTCAAAAAACCAATGTTTGCCTTTATAGATCCTCTCTTATTTTTTCATGTTTTCTATTTTATTAATTTACACACTGATCTTTGTTGCCTATTTCCCATGGGTTCATCCTATTGTTGCTTTTAATTTTTTTCTTTGAGTAGAGCTGACATACGATGTTAGTTACAGGTGTGCAATATAGTGATGCAGCATCTCTATACCCTGTTGTTCCTTTTCTATTTTAAGTTGGATACTCTGCACATTCCTTGTCAGACTTCCTTCTTTTCTAATATAAGAATTTAGACCTATGCATTTTTCTCACTTTCCATGTATCCCATAATTATGACATTTAGAATTTCAGTATCATTCTGTACCAAGTCTTACTGAATTTCAATAGGGTTTCTTCCTTGATGGTCACTGTTTAGAAATGTGATTGTATATTATGGTAATTTCTAAGATTCCTCTTTTTGTTTTCTGTCTTGTGCATGTAAAGCTTGGGACTTGTATCAACTCATGCACAGGATTCTCTTCCCAGTTCTGTCCTCTGCAGGATTCCCCACCTTTTTCAGCTCCCAGAACCCCACTGCTCAGTCTTCTGTCTAGAAAGACAGTATTTCTCTCTGGAATGCTAGCCCCTTGTGCTCTGCATGGTTGCATACACTCAGGTCACTCGCAGAGTAAAGCAGTGAGAAATGAGAAAAACACCACCACAAACTCTTTGTCCACACTCCCCTTTCCCAGTCCTCTGGCTAGAAAGATTTTTCCGCAGGCTTTTGGTGCCTATACCATGCTGTATGCAGAGCAGTTCCCGATGGGGCAGCATGGAAGGCTGGGGAACCTAACGGGGACTCCTCACTCTCATCCTCTGGCTCAGAGAGGCACCTTGTCCCAGTGCTCTGGTCAGAAGGACAGGGTTTCTCCACCAGATTTTGTTGTCAGTACCTGCTGCCCAGTTCTGTGCCAGGGCTACTCTCAGATGATGCCAGACGATGAAAAAGGAAAAAGGGAAATGGTTAAAACAAGAAATGTACCCCCTAAAAAGTCAATCTTCATGTTTGGTACCCCCTCTCCTTCTTCCTGCTGTATTAGACTTCCCAGAGTCTTTGGGTGGAAGGTTTTGTCTAGAGAAGTTACTTGTTTGTATCCAGCAGGAGAGAAAAGCTGTCCTCACTCCATCTTTACCAGAACCAGAAGTGCCATCCCTTACTTTTTTAGTGGAACTTACTTTTGATTGAAATTATGAATTTTCTAATTTTCCAGCAACTAGTTTGTATTTTAGCTGAGGGTCCTTCACAAATAGATTGGCATAATACTGGAAGCAGACCCCTCCCACTTTCCTTTCTAAGGACTCACAAACCATCTTTCGAGTTAAAAATACATCTCCGACATTTCCAATCAACAAAATTTCTGAATTAAGCTGCTTCACTAGTTTCCTTGAGTTGAGTCTTTTCACTTGACAATCAGTATTTATTGGGAAGCTACAGTGCTGAAGGTCTGTGGTAAATGTTAGGAACCTGAAAATAAACAAGACCAATGAGCCCCAGCGCGATCACAACTCAACAAGGGAAACAGACACTTAGAGGTAATTTCAAATGATAGGATAAGGTGCCACTGGAGTGTTGAGGGGACCTTGAGCTTAATAGTTCCAGCTAAGGACTGGTCAGTCTCAGAGTGCTCCAGAAAGGACATGATAAATTAGTTAGACCTTCAAAGATGAGCAGGATCCCACCAGGGGAAGGAAACTCAAAAGTACAAATGCAAATGGCAAGACAGCCAGTATGCCCAGAGAGTGGAGGAAGCCCAGAACCCGAGATGAGATTTCTTCACATTTTGTTCTTCACCAAAGGAAGCATCTCTTTTTCCCAGAGGGAACTTTACTCACTAAAAAAAACTACTGCAGGGGACTCCATGATGATCTTCCTGATATGGAAAATAAGCACAACGTACATACACACTGTATGATCCTGGCAGCTCTGCCTTTCTTATGATGTTAACCCAGTTGGTTTTATTTTGTTACTTTTTCCATTTCAATGAAAATCACATTTCTAAAGAATGGACTGGAACCAATGTCAATAGGCAAGACCGGAATCTTTCTGAAAAAAAAAAAAAAAAAGAAAGTGATAGACTTACACTAGGAACTCCTTTTGATTTTATACTGTTAAACATATTAATATTATTTTTATTCTTTTTTAAATGTATTAGGATACCACACGATGAATAAAAAATGGAAAAGCATTCATGAGTATTTATTTAAACCTTGCTTATTCATCTTTTTATTACAAAATCAAACAATCCCATTAAAATGGTACTATGGAAAGATATTTTACTATCCCTACAGATTCAGTAAGTGAATTTTCTAGGGCTGCCATAACAAAGTATCACAATGAGGGCTTGAACAACAGACATGTATTGTCTCTTGGACATCCTCTTGGCTGTATCCAGTGTTGTTTCTTGATACCAGTATCCCAAGTTTCAGATTCTTTCTTCAGCCAACTCTAGTATGATGTTAAATGTCCATTTAGATTTTAATTGTAATAATTGTGGGTTTTATTTCTGGTTGTTTTTTGGTTATTTATATAGCCAGAACTGAAGATCTAGGTGGATTTTATTTTATTTGTTCATCTCTGTTTTCTAGTCTCTTTACAATAAACATGTACTTCCTTTATGAAAAAAGGTTATTCAAGTTATATTTTATCACCTTTTCCCTTTGACTTCCTATGTATTCCTCCTTGTGAGCCCACATGTCCCAGCTATCACCTGTCTTCCCTCATCATTCCCAAACACAGATAAAGAGTTGGCAGTTCAGGAGCGAAACACTGGCTGAGAAATAAAAGCAAGACAGTGCTCTTTTCTTTCCAGTACCTAGAAGTTCTGTGATATTTATTTCAGAGGCATAGAAGGGAGCTTTTATAGGTCAGCCAGGGAGACGCTGTAGAGGTTAGCATTCGGTTTGGGGATAAAGAACAAGAGCATAGGGCTAGAGCGAGGGCTATGCTGACTCTGCCCTAACAGCTGAATGGGGTAAATCACTTACATCCCTGGCACCCCAGTTTCTTCTTCTAGTCATGAGGAGCAGATGCAATGCTCTGAGAACATTCCGTAATTCTGAATCCTTCTGTGTAAACGCCCACGTGTGTCCTCTTCTTCCCATTCTACCTACATTCAGCACAAAGCAGTTGCCTGATACACCTTATTGGCTGTCCCCATGAATGACATCCTGACTGCCTGGCTGTTTTCTTGAATGAATGAACAGTGGCCACAGTATGACTTTTGTGAGCCTTAGGTAGTTTTACCTCTGTGGACCCCAAAAATGGTTTAATTATATTACATTTTACAATATAATTAGTATGAAGATGACTATATTAGCATCTTTCTTCTACCTAAAAGTTTGTCTTTTTTTCTTCTGATTTTAAAAGAACTTTCATGGGTCCTTGAAAGCACTGTGGGCCCACCTAGGGCCCACAGTGCTTTTCACGCCTGGATCTGCCTCGCTAATGGGGAAGCCATCCCTGCAGGAACTACTCAATAGATGCCTTCAACACGTGAGACGTTTCGTAAGAGAGCCCTTTGAGCAGTGCACCAATGCATTCTCCAGATTTTATGCCAAGCCCAGTTACCTAGTTCTCTTCTCTAAGGACATGAGTGGAGTTCCCCCTCATTCTGTCATTTCATATTAAAATAAAGCTGCTCCTGATTCCTGGGCTCCAGTAGCTCATATGGCATTTCTGTGCAAATTAGCAAGGGGCTTCTTATCTTTAAGAAGAAGGGGGAAAGCATTTAAAGTATTATATCATTGCACAGTCTAAATAACTATGCCCACTGAGCCTGGAGAAAGTGCAAAGTCAGGTGGGCATCCTTTCCAAACTCATTTGGGGCCACAGTTGTGGGCCTGAATGGCATGGTGGTGGGACAGTAACACTAATCCATGGCGTTCAGCTTAAAGGCATCCTTGGGGTAGTTCCACAAGCCAAACTTCATCCTAAGTCTGTGGCTGGAATGCTGAAGTCTCAGCAGGACTCTGGCAAAGTCTCTAAAAGCAATGGGAGAACAAAGTCACAGCCTCCAGTTTCTCCCAGGGAAAAAAGTGGACGAGGCACAACCACATGAACCTGTGTGTGTGCACACATGCTTAAGTGCATGTGTGCATGGCCTTGCAGGCAAGTTCTGGTTCTGTGAGCCAGAACTCTCATGTTGCCCACCCCAGAACTCCTGCTAGAGGCCAGGAAGCTCTTGCGCATGTTAGTGTATGTCTACAATATGAATAATACCTCCTTATTTGCAGCACCTTGTGCAGGGCACAGTCTGAACAGCTGCACACAGCAGCCGTGCCCAGCTCGCTGAGTCCCCTCGCTGATGGAAAGCCCACACTCCCACATACTAAAGCCCTCCGTCCGTTCCCTTCTCTGCAGGGATGACATGCCAGGCTCGGAGCTCCTACATCACGAGTGAGATCCTGTGGGGTTACCGCTTCACGCCTGTCCTGACGCTGGAAGACGGGTTCTATGAGGTCGACTACAACAGTTTCCACGAGACCTATGAGACCAGCACCCCATCTCTCAGTGCCAAAGAGCTGGCTGAGCTAGCCAGCAGGGCGGAGCTGCCCCTGAGTTGGTCTGTGTCCAGCAAACTCAACCAACATGCAGAACTGGAGACCGAAGAAGAAGAGAAGAACCTGGAGGAACAAACAGAAAGGAATGGTGACGTGGCAAACCTAGAGAATGAATCCAAAGTTTAGTGTCCTAGCTGGGCAGCCACTTCTCCTCTTCCCTCACGCAGCCTTTTCTTGTCTCTCATTCTCTTTCTTTTTTTGTCTTTCTTACTTGGTTGTTTATTTATTTATATTTAATTTTGACATTTCCAGAAAACAAATCTTCAAGGTGTAAAATATCTACCTGCCCTCTCTCAGTTACTCAGATCGACAAGGTAGACATGGATTTGGTTCAGGTGCAACGTGCCCTCATTCATGGCCCAAGCTTGCTCTCTTCCCTAAATACCACACATCCAACTTGTAGGGATTTAAGCTACTTACCTGCATGTCTTGTACAATACCAGATCACTCAAAGAGTGTGTCAAAGATTTTACCTGGGATAGGACAAGTTAGGTCTCTGGTGCCTATTTACTCATGCAGTAAGACATAGCATATAACCCTCAATTTTATAGATTCAAATAAATTTCATCTACAGGGTGAGGTGCTTGCCCCATACAGGCATTGCAGTTATAGGACCCGGGTCAGGTAAAGACAGAAACACTGTACATATATATGCCTTATGTAATTACTTTCTTTTCGCAGTTAGTAAAAAAAAAAAAACCCAGCATGTACAAAAGTACTGTAGAACAGAACTTCTAAATAATGTACATAGATGTATAATTAATGTAGGTTTAGATACATAACTTTAGAAATAAGATGCAAAAAAAAAAGATTCCCAATGTACAGTAGGCATTTCTGTTTTGTTGTCTTTGCTTTCTCAATTTCTTTGGTCCCATTGACTGCTGGTCCTTAGTGCATGGCCTTTGTTCCGTGTCCCAGACTGGTAGTGTTTGGGTACCTCACTGTTCCCTTGCTGATCCTTTCATTGAATCTAATAAGCCATAGGTCTGGGGGAAGTTAAGAGGTCTAGTACATGGCAAAACCCACCACCAATATGCTGATATACTGTGAAATGTTTACAAAACTGAGGTCTCTTTTTTTAGTAACAGGAGCCTCACTGACTAGCCTGGGGGAATATTCCAGGGGTAGGACACTCTCTGGCACGTGACCAATGATGTGTTTATGCTTTCCACGCGAGCTGTCACCCTTTGTAGTACAAGAGTTTGGGAAACTCTTCTTCTACAAAACCATGGATTCTCCAGCTGTTCCACTCTGTAATCATGAGAAACTACAGACTTAAAAAATAAGACATGGTAATTTAGCAGAAGATGGTTTGGGTCCAAAGCCATGACATTGGTGAAGGCATGCAGTAGGAGACATATGTTGTAATCATTCACCTTACACACTTTGACTCCATCTGGCTATCTTCCTGTCCCTGCCAGCTTATCTGTCAGCACTTCCTGCATTTGTATCTATTATTATTCGTATTCTTTTATTATTATGAAATGACCAGAGTTCAATAGTCAAAGATTAGGCAACTACAAAATCTCTCTAGAGTGTGCCACAGGTGGGAAATCAAATCCAAAGTGTCTCCCAATCAGAAGAACACAAGCAAAAAACTGCAGCCTTAATTCATTGTAATCTGCAAAGATCAATGGAGAGAGAGAGAGAGAGAGAGAGAGAGAGAGAGAGAGAGATTGAGAGAGAAGGAAGGAAAGCATTTTGTACTAAAACTCTAAATTCAAGATGAAAAAAAATTAAATAAAAAGAAATGGAAGAGAATGTCAGACAAAATCTCAAGGGCAGGTGGACATTTTGCACTATAACAGATCTTTCACATTAATTTCACAATTTTAAACTATTTGTTCCCTAAAACAGTTGCCCATCATAAGCATTCATTGACTGAATTAAGTTCTTTTTCAGCACGGGCTGTGCTCAGTTTGAGGCTTTGTGCCACAAAGGTCAAAGAACTCAAACTAGCTTTCACTCACTTCCTGTTGCCCTTGATTTCCCCGACCAGATTGGCCAGGCCTTCACTATAGTTTGGGGACCTTGTCTACCATAAAGCATGTCCCAGAGATAAGGAATGTGGCCCCTCAGTTTAACACAGTGGTCTCCTCCCACTTCTGAGACCTCAATCAGTACAACTGCTTCTTGGCAGTGACTCAACTGAAAACAAAACTGTTGGCCATAGCCCTTTCCTGTTTGCCAATATTTCACTTTTTGCATTGAGTATCTGTTGAATCATTTATTCATTCCACACAATCCAAGGAGGAGGTTGTAGTCAAGGAGGAGGAGAGAGCCCCATACACTTCCTGCCAGGCTGTGGGGAGGTACTGTGGCCTTACCTCGCTGTAGCCTTATGAAAGGCGCCCTTGACTTGGGGGCACTAACCCTGCAGCATCCCCAGAGTTGCAGGGCAAGGCATGGTAGCACAAAGTAAGATGAAGCAGGGGCTGCAAAAGTCTGCTAAATTTAGCTCTTGATGACTCAGTAGGCCTTTTTTTAATCTGTTACTAAGGCTCAAAGGACAACACACACCCTGTTGTCTGGTTGGAAGAGCAGTTCGGGGCCCTTTAGCACAAATGAACGAAGAGTCTTGACAACCCTTTGGTCATGCACATGTGTTAGTTCTCTATCTGTGACAAGGCACTCGGATGTGAGGTCCCTCCCTATTTCTATTTCTCATTGTCTTTGGTGTCAATGTAGTTGGAGACAGAACATGAACCAAATCTCGTTTTTGTAATGTGAGCCTCTGAATCTTTAAACAAGGATGCTCCAGAAGAACCTTTTACTAGAATGTCCCTATCAAACGTGTCTATTTTTCTACAATTATTGATACCACAGTTTAACAGTGTATTTTGTGTCAACTGTTAAAATTTGGAATTGAAAGAAGCTCATTAAGACTGAATTTTCTAAGCAGCAAGTATTGAATGGTGTTTTTCATTAAGACTGTACAACAAAGATGAGCCCACAATTTCTACTCATTCTATTCTACATAACCAGTCCCCATTCACGTAGTCACTTTGTTAGGAAATCAAGTGCTATGAAAATAAACAAGCCTATTTTAATGCAACAATACCCGTAACTGATGAGGATCACTCGCAACTTGATATTTTGGTCTGTTGGTTTGGTGTGTTTGAGTCACTTTCCATAAAAGCATGGTGGGATCTGATAACCAGATAAGAATTTTGAGCTAAAGCGTTATGGTTTGCCACAGTCGACCCCAATCTGGAGGATAGGGCAGATTCAGCTGGAAGCATGACCTCCCCAAGGGCTGCTGAGACCCTCAGATTCTCACTTCCACCCACCCCAATATACCCCATATGCTTTCCAACTGGAAAACCTATTTGTTTATAAGTCAACTTTATGTAACTAATAAAATCGTTTATGTTTTTGGCTGTCCCCTGAGCGAATGATACTCTTTTGAATCAACATATTTGTGATCACTGTAATGCCAGGTCATTGTTTATCCATTCCTCAAAACGTGGCATCCCAGCCTGTTAACCCAACATGTGTCCATAAGAAGAAACTCCCTCTTCCCCCACTCCCTTCCTCCATCTGTCTCTCTCTTTTGTGCTGTCCCTAGTTCCCCAGTGCCAGGTCCATAGACTTAGTTCAGTATCTTATGTTCCCTAACAAAAATCCAACTATTGTCTTTAAAAATGTCAACATGTTTCTTAAGCACAATTTTCTCTTGTGGGTTTACCCAAACTAGGGCTCTGAACTATCTATTTCTCATTGTATTCTAATTAAAAATTATTTATTACTTCATTCAAAAGCCTAAATTTTGAAGTCTCCAGAGAAACATCCTTATGCTTTCCCTCCCTACACTTTCTTACACTTCAGTTTTCTTATTTTTTCCCTTTTGCTTTTTAATTTAGATGTAAGCCAGTATCTTTGGGATGTTTAGAAACTGTTTAGAAAGGCGGGAGCTGGTGAACAAAGAGATTATAAAAATAACATTAGAAAACTATTCGAATTCACCCAAAGAATGTGAAATCATTTGATTAGCTGAATAATTCAAGATAAAAAAGAGTCATAATATTCATAATCATTTCCAAGACAGTGTGCTAATAGTCTAACTAGTTTTCAGTCTTTCTTTCCTTGACTTGGGTGATACTCTATGCAACTCAGAAAAGTCAAAAGGGTAGTTGGAAATTAAATGCCCGTATAAATGGAAAAAAGTATCTTCTATGATTTCCTTTCAATGGATGGCTATAAAATTGAAAAACATAGTATATACATAATAGACGATTCATCGATACCTCATTATAACATAGTAAAATCACATTATCTTGTTTCTAGTTTTATGGCCAACCTGTTTAAGAAAATGTGATCTTTTCATTTAAAATGGAGTAAAACACACCTCTTCCTAATACTTCTGCCCTTAATGTGTCAGAGAATTTCTGATGCAGTGTCATCTAGAAGTGAAAAGCTCTGTAAGGCTACGAAGAGCCTTGTATTTTGACAAAGCACAATATCAATACACAATACAAAATCATATTACACCCTACATTGTGCAGTGTTTGGGAACATTCAGAGCACTTGCATAAATTATGTCATTTAATTCTAATCCACCAAAAAAGCTTGAGTATTATAATTCATATTTTATAAAAGGAAAACTAGGGTGTGGGCAGATTTGGTAACTTTCCCAAGGTTATGAGTCTAGTAATAATAGGTCCTGGTCTCAAGGCTTAAGCTATGCTCTCCATTTATTACAGAAAGGGTCAGCAAACCAAATCTACTCACAGACTCTGGCCCACTGCCTGTTTTTGCACCACTCATGAGCAAAGAATGACTTTCACATTTTTAAGCAGTTGGGGGAAAAAAGACAAAATATTTTCTGACATGTGAGAATTGTATGAAATTCCAATTACAGTGTCCATAAATAAAATTTTATTGGAATACAGCCACACTCATTCATTTGTGTGTTGCCTATGACCACTTTCACACAATACGAGTAGAGTTGAGTGTTTAAGACAGAGACCATACATCTAGAAGGCTAAAATATTACTACCTGGCCCTCTACAGGAAGTTTGCCAACTGGTATACTGTACTATTAAGTACTACTAGTTACTAAATATTGTACTGTGCTACTAAAGGATTCCTGAACAACTCAGAATGATGACATTCTTTTCAATATAAATGCATTGCAATTACTCACAGAAAAAAATAACACAGTCATAGATTCAGGTGTCAAAGGAAAACTCCTTCCTTTTTGTAACCATTCCCCCAGAGTGCTAAATAAAAAACCAGCCAAGATTCAGTGGCCACCTCAGAAAGCGATAAGGTAAAACAACTCCTTAATGAAAGGGGAATGTCCACTCCAGTGCCTGAGACATTGCACCATTTAAATATGTAGATAGTTGGGACACATGTCTCCAATTAGCAGGGCGAACTGGACTTGCGGTGGGTTGCCACACATCAAACCAGCTTCCCCTCCCTGACTTGTCTTCTCTCTTATGCTCCCTTGGAAGATGGAGCCTGTGTCTTCCTGCTAGTTCTCTCTGGCCTGCAACTGATCAACGTGATGAAGATGAAACCATTGTTCATATCTGGCTGTCCTAGTTCTGGCTCTCTTCAGCCACTTGGCCAAAAGTTTAGCATGAGAATTAGAATAAATGCTTCTTTTGGAAAACTAAGAAGTTCTTTGAAAAGAGCTCAGGGAGAAACAGTAGTTAAGGGTTGTTGAATTGTTTGTCACTTTTTGAATCCAAAACACAAGATAAAGATTGGTAATTACAGAAATATTAAATGCAAGAAATCCAGAAAATGGAGTTTTGAGACAAGTCAATATTAAATGACATTCTTTAGTATCACTAAGATGAACTCACTTGTGTTCTAAGAAAGCATTTCCAAAGCCAGACATGGGTCAGTCAAGTGAGGTTCTTTAACTCTACAGTTCTATTGAAAAAAATATATATCAGGTTTTCTAATGAGTGCTTTCCTGGAAATTATGTGGGGGAAAAATTTTGTCACAAATCATTGTGATGTACTGCTGAAAGATTAATGATGGAAACTGAGATAAATTTGGTCCTGTGTCTAAATCTAAATAGTTATAATATCTGAGATATAGATGATGCACAAAACTCATGACACTGCAACTGTATGGAACAGCATAATAACTACATGAGATAAAAAGAAATTCTCAAAGTTCAACACCATAAAGCTTAAATAAATGTAAAAGGAGTCAAACTTTTACAGGGCCTCATTGCCTTGGTAAAAAAAAAAAAAAAAAAAAAAAAAAAAAGCTGGACGCCTCCACCTAATTCAAATAAGGGAGTCCTAAGAAGGGAATGAGGGCAAAATACTTTGAGACATGTGAAAACAGCTCATTAAGATAGAAGCATGATTGAATGATGGAGATTTATCACCAATGAAAATGGCTTTTATAAAGTTAATTTTAGATACTACCCCCTAGATGTGAATCCTAATGTGTTCTGTGCTCGGCCAGTGAATTGTGACCACATAGGCAATAGATCTTGATTTCAGAGAATGAAGCGTTCCTACAATCAAAGGGTAAATGACCATTTCAAGATTAAGACTCTGCAACCATTGTATTAACACTGATCATAAATACTGTGATATCAACCAGCCGATTCTTCATATAAGAATATGAAGGGCTGTTTTTCTCAGGCAATGTAAATATCCTCTACCAACAGGCACTAGTGAAATAAACATATAATGCATCATTATTTCTAAAATTCTGATAGAAATCATAAAATACCCATCCAAAGGAGCAAGAAATCCTAGGAGCCTAAGTTCAGACCTCTTTGGCTACTAAAACCCCAGTCCAGGCTGAATGCCTTATGGAATACACAGTGCTGGGTCTATCAGCACTAAACATAGCTACAGACTTGGATCAACCAGAGCACAGAGAGCTGAGCTTCCATCAGCTGTGCACGATCAGAACCTCTGGCTCCATGGCCACTATTCTTAGAGAAGGAGACGGAACACTGTTCTCAGATCCAGTTGGTGCCATTCTGCCATCATCTCTTGGCATTATTTCAAATGGGAGTGGGTGTGGCCAACCCTCCCTTGGTTCATTTTGGCCATGCCCACCTGCTGCAGGCTCTCTGTGTGAGTCTCTCCCTTCAGGTCTGGTTCCTGCTCATGCAGAAAATGACACCCTCTCCCAGAAGACAAAGCAACTCTGTGTCTTTTGAGCTTCTCTTGGCCAGCATCCTGGGCCCTACAAAGCACACACCTAGATCAGGGGTGGCAACTCTCCCTAGAAGAACTGAAGTAAGACCTTTTGCAACCCCTATGCACAGGAGTGCTTCTCCCATACAGAAGTCAAAACCAAATAATACTACTGTGTAAATAGAGTAAATGTAAGGAAGTCCAAAAAAGTTCTCATTTTCCCATGGTGATTACCTGGATGATATTTTCCCCTTTACGTATCTAATTCTTCAACCTCTGGAAATTCTCACTTTTTAATATAATGATGCCATGAGCACAAACTCCGCTGTCCCATCAGGCAATCCCAACTATTACCCTAGATGGTCTGATCTTGTTCCCTTTTTTAAGTAAGGGGTTCTAATCTGTTCAAACCTATCTCTAGACCAATGTTGTCCTGGCCAAGAAATTTCATGTACCCTCTTTCCTCTAACAGGAACCAACAAATGAGGACAGCATTGTCAAGAGTCTCCTCTTTATTTGCAAGGAACTCCCCTGGATTGCAACACTTAGAGACACAACTTATGTTGTCCCCAGTTCCCCACAGGGTTATCATGTCACCACAGGTCATCGTCTAAGCATTCTACCGAGTTTCTCTTTCTGAATTCCTCCTTTAGCTTACCACTAAAAGCCATCTTTCCAGGCACCACCTTTCTCTGGGTTTCTGTGGCATTCTTGAGTGGCAGCCAAGAACCCATAATTGAGGTTAGTCCCATCTCTTACTACCTAATTTTCCACTACTGGTTTTAATTGAGCACGTAATATGTTCACAGTCTGACCACCTGAAACCAAAAAGGTAGAAAATTTCATTTCTGCCCCCATACACACCTTGAGAGCTCATGAGTGATGGTGGGGCATTATGACATCAGCCCATAACTGAGCAGAGTGTAATGTGAGGTCTTGTCCTGAAGGGAAGCTGGACTTTTCCAGGGGAATCTTCTTGTCCCTTGAAACATGCAATTAGGCTATCCAGCTTGCCAAAGATGATCCTGAATATCTTTATTCAGCCCAGTGGATCAGCATCTAAAATGAGAGTTATACAGGAACAACAGTGAACTCCCACACGTGTACAAGATTCTGAAATGATGACCTAAATATATGCCTGTGTTGGCAAAGTGGCCTTTCCTCCCGCACTGTCTGCACAGACTGTGCTCTGGGGAAAAACCAAGCACCTATGTGGTGCCTAGTTACCCAGGCCTGTATGGCTGCTGCCATGGCAACCTGCAGCCTATCAATGTAGACCTTTCCATGGAGTCTCTGAGGAGAACTGGCAGAGAGGCTCCAAGGCTGGAGTTCCCAAAGGCTGGTCCACCTGCAGACAGCCCTTGGGGAATCCTAAGAGATATGGGGCAGTGCCCAGGCAAACGGGTACTCATTCAGTGGCCAAGTATAGGATATTACTATTCCTTCTTCCTAGGAGAGTATGCACTTGGTGGCCAAACTGCTCCTAAAAAAGCTATTCTTTAAGCCATCATCCCCATCCCACATACACACCCACACCCAAATCACATTCGCCTTTAAAAGAGAGAGAGAGAGATCCCAAAACCAAATTCACATTATCTGGTGTAATAGATATCCGAAGTGCTGCCATTTTATTAATCATTTGACAAGCTCTGCCTAAATAGTGTTTCAGTAATAATCCCAAGTATAAAGAAAATCAATTTTAAATTTTTACTTAGAAATTCTTTTAGACCAAAAAAAAAAAAGAGAAAAGAAAAGGAGTTTCTTCTTAGAAAACCTGATTTCCAGTGTTCATTTTTGTCCCCAGGATGCAAAGTCTCAAGAATACTATTTCTCCATAAACTTGCTATTTCCCATCTGACTTTGAACCTGAGGACAGACTCCTTTACATTGGCATGAAAGGTTAAGTAGAATTTAGCACTGAAACTTTCAGAGTTAAAGTTGGTCTGGACCTATGAACCCAGGTAGAAGTAAACTCTACTAACCAGTAACAACTCTGCACCAATCCCCCCCTAGACAACAACCTCAGGGAAATTTTAGATGTGAAAATTCTGCTTGCTTGCTTTCAGAGAGAGGATGGTAGTGTTCAAATCTCTGGGTCATGCCCACACTGTACACATCAGGCCAGATCAGCTTACCTGGTCTATAGCTTGCTCAGTCAGCTGGCGACATCCATCAGGGACATTAGTGAATAAATGAGAACTTTCTGCAATCTGAACAACCACGCTGGAAGACTTTTCTTCCATCTTATTTTCCAGTTCTGCTACAAGAGACATCGTGGTTTGTTATTCTGTGGTTCCCCTCTACACATACCTTCATATTCTTTTTCCTTTTCCAAAAGAAAGAAGGCCCCTCTTAATATTGCATGATATGGTGGTAGTATTTCCAATCCTTTGTAACTAACGCCTTAACTAACAAATACAACAACCCTCTTCCCACATATACACACACATGCACGTAGTTACATAAACATATACACATATATTTATACACAAGTATACATGCGCTCATACACACATGCACATGCACACGCACACACACACACACACACACACACACATTTACCTCCCCCAGTCAGTTAGAAGCTAGTCCATATAAGTGAATTTCCAGAAAACCAGTCTTAAGAATACCAATAACTCCCTCCCCAACCATCACAGTGGTATTCTTTCTAAAATGTACCATAGGCCTCCCGGACTCACAGGCGATGGGTCATAAAGTAACCTTTTATTTATATATACTGTTTTGTAGGAAACCTGGATTTAGTCTGAGGGAAACAGGATTCTGATCCTGGTTCCATCCCCAGATAAGTTATATGGTCTGGGATAAATCACTGAACTTCTCAAAAAACAGTTTTCTCTTTTTTTTTGACCAATAATCTTTATTTTTTTAGCACAATTTTAGGTTCATAGAAAAATTGGGTGAAAAGTACAGAGAGCTGGGACACCTGAGTGGCTCAGTGGTTGAGAATCTGCCTTCAGCTCAGGTAGTGATCCTGGGTCCTGGGATCGAGTCCCACATCAGGCTCCCTGCATGGAGCCTGCTTCTCCTTATGCCTGTGTCTTTGCCTCTCTCTGTTTGTCTCTCATGAATAAATAAATAAAATCTTTTTAAAAAAATACAGATAATTCTCATACATTCCCCTGGCCCCACACATCCACAACCTCCCCAGTTATCAACATTCTGCACCAGAGTTGTACACTTGCTACAATTGGTGAACCTACATTGACTCATCATTACCACCCAAAGTACACAGTTTACATTAGGGTTCACTCTTGGTGGTGTGCATTCTATGAGTTTTGACAAATGCATAATGCATAATGACATATATCCACCAATGCAGTTTCATGCAAAACAGTTTCACTGACCTAAAAATTCTCTATGCTCTCCCTATTTATCTCCCTCTCCCTCCAACCCTCGACAACTACTGATCTTTTTACCATCTTTAGAGTTTTGCCTTTTCCAAAATGTCATATAGTTGAGATCATACAGCATACAGATTGCTGAAGCATACAGATTAGCTTCTTTCACTTAATAGTATGCACTTAAGAGTATTTCACACCTTTTTACAGCTTGACAGCTCATTTTTTAGGGCTGAATAATATTTTATTGTCTGGATGTACATGGTTTATATATTTATTTACATACTGTTCGTTGCTTTCAAGTTTTGGCAATGATGAATAAAGCTGCTATAAACATTTGTGTGGAGGTTTTTGTGTAAACAGAGTTTTCCATTCATTTGAGTAAATACCAAGGAGCATGATTGCTGCATAATATGATAAAACCATCTTTAGTTTTGAAAGAAAACTGCCAAACTATCTTCCAAAGTAGCTATACCATTTTGCATTCCCACCAACGGTGAATGAGAGTTCCTGTTGCCTCGTATCCTTGCCAACATTTGGTGTTACCGGTGTTCTGGATTTTGGCCATTCTAATAGGTGTGCACTGGTATCTCATTGTTGCTTTCATTTGCATTTCCCTGCTGATATGATATGGAGCATCTTTCCATATACTTATTTGCCATCTGTACATCTTCTTTGGTGAGGTGCTTGTTCAGGTCTTTGCCCATTTTTATTCAGGTTGGTTTTTTTTTTATTGTTGAGTTTTAAGAGTTCTTTGAATATTTTGGATAACAGCCTTTTATCGGATACTTCTTTTACAAATATTTTCTCCCAATGTTTGTCTTCTCATTCTTTTGACAGTATCTTTTGCAGAGCATAAATGTTTAATATTAACGAACACCAGCTTATAAATTCTTCCCTCATGGATCATGCCTTTGGTGTTGTATTTTTAAATTCATTGCCATACCCAAGGTCATCCAGGTTTTCTCATATATTATCTTCTAGGAGTTTTATAGTTTTGCATTTTACATCTAAATAGTTTTGAGTTAATTTTTGTGAAGAGTTTAAGGTCTGTGTCCAGAATTTGGGGGGAGGGGAGTTTATATGACTGTATATAGTTTCTCCAGAACAAACCATTTGTTGAAAAGACTGTATTTTCATCTCTGTATTGAATTTGCACTTTTGTCAAAGATCAACTGACTACACTTACAGGGTTCTATTTCTGGGCTTTCTGTTCTGCTCCATTATCTACTTGTCTATTCTTTCACCAATATCACACTGTGCTGATCACTGTAGCTTTACAGTAAGCCTTGAGGTTGGATAGTGTCAGTCCTCTAATGCATTGAATCTGTAGATCAATTTGGGAAGAACTTGACAATATGAAGTCTTGACAAAATTGAGTCTTTCCTATTCATGAACATGGAATATCTCTCCATTTACTTAGTTCATTTGTTATCTTTCATCAGAGTTCTGTGATTTTCCTTATATAAATCTTGTACATATTTTGTTAGATTTATACCTAAGTATATTTGGGAGGATGCTAATGTAAATAATATTGTGTTTGTAATTCCTGATTCTACTTGTTTATTGATATATAGGAAAGTGAGTGACTTTTTGTATATTACTGTATCCTGTAACCTTGCTATGATAGTTTTTGGTATTCTTTCAGATTTTTTACATGAACATTCATGTCATCTGCAAAGATAATTTTATTTTTTCTCCCCAATCCCTCCAAGCACTGCTTTCACTGCATCCCACAAATCTTGATAAATTGCATTTTTATTCTCATTTAGTTCAAAATATTTTTTAATTCTCTTAAGATTTCTTCCTTGACCTATGTGTTATTTAGAAGTTGTTGTTGAATCTCTGAGTATTTTGAGATTTTTCCATTTTTATATTGGATTTCTAATTTAATTCTATTGTGGTCTAGAGGAGACTTTATATGATTTCTATACTTTCAAGTTTGTTAAGATGTGCTTTATGGCCCAGTATGTGGTTTATCTTGGTGAATGTTCCATGTGAGCTTCAGAAAATTTTTTCTGTTAGTTTCCTTGTCGTTTTCAACAAGGATTCAAATCCCCCAGTCTCTGCTTCCATGATTCTAATAGCAGTTCCAGTCTATACCACCCCTATACTAGATAGCCCCAGATGATTTAGCTTTAAGTCTTACCTATTTTTAACAGTTTCACTAATTCCTATGCTAGCAGCAATGAAATTTTACCACTCTTCATACACTTGTCTCCAGGATCTCCTCATCAAAAATATCCTTCTCTCCTCTCTTCTATCACCACTACATGCCATAGCAATAGACAAGTTATGAGTTAGGTGCCTTCCAGACAAATGAAATGTTACCAGACAAGCACTATAGTCTCCCCTACAGTAAATAAAAGCCCCCAAAGAGGTTGGCATCTTTGATAGAAGTGCATGAATACATCTTGCTGGCACATCCAGCTCCAGCAGGTTATTGGCAACTTGCTTTTAACCTGAACTCCTCTTTACCTTCCCTGAAGCATGTATCTAGGACCCCAGGACAAAAAAAAAATTAATACTAAATCAAGTAGAACATAATTAGGGAGGCAAAGAACTTAAACTATAACATTTTAATTCAACTGCTTTACGTCAGCCATATCACTCTTTTCCATTATGAATTAAAAGATAATTCACTGTGTTTGCTTTCCTAATAAAGTAGCACAATACAAGGCCTGAAATATTTAATAATGCCCAATAAAATATGAAGTCATTCTGTGAGCAAATCATTTCCTAAGACAGAAAAAAATTATTCTGAAAAGTTCACTAGTTCAAAAGTCCAAAGCAGTACCTAAACTTCAGTAGTCTTTTTAATCATGAATCTATGAAACTGACGATAAGTCTTATTCTGATTTGAGGGCTGCATGTCTTTTAGACATTCATGTTCCTATTGACCTAGTTCTCATTCTTACCATCACACAGAACTGTTAGGACTTATTTAAACAAAACAAAGCCTAGCCACTCTTAGAACCAAGTCATCAAGCTGGGTGTCATTGGGCTGCATGTTGGTGTTCCAGTTCCAGTATCCACTCCTAAAGAATAAAAGTCCTCTAAAAAGAAACAAAGCACAAACATATTTGACCTTCAACATTGTTCCCAGAAATCCATGTAAGAACTTGAGTTTAAAAAAAAAATTAAAAAAAAAAAAAAAGAACTTGAGTTTTTGATAAGGTGTTCACATTTTACAGAGAAATAAAATGTTCGGCTTCCACGGTGCATGAAGTTCACTAAAGCTGGGAGTAGACATATACTTGTATCTCCATTCTCAGGGATCTAAGCTGCCAACTAAAATTAGAACTCCACTAAAATTATTCTGAAAGCTAGTGGATGTCCCATATTTTATTGTTCTAAATTGACATTTGTTTGACTGAGTATTGACCCATGAGCACTTGTAGTACAGTGGGCAAGTTCTAGGCAGGTTGCTGTAAAGACCAAGAAATAATGACATCTTCCTCTGCCTTCAACAAGCCTACAACCTCATGGCAACCAGCTCTTACCATGTGACCACACTGTGCTGAGTGAATTGAACCACACAAAAGCCCCGTGGGCAAATACTGACTCCCACTTTATAAATTAAAGAAACTGGGGCATAATGAGAAATATTAACTTACTCTAGTTTAAGAAATAAGACAACTTAATAGGGAGGGTACAACAACTGTTCTGAAATTTAAAGAAAGCAGATCAGCTTCTGCGTAAGTAATCAGGAATGGTTTCCTAGGGAAGAAAGGGACATTTGTCCTAACATTCCTGGAGATTGGGTGGGATTTGGAAGACCCAGGAGGAAGTCTTCCTTTCAGTGTGAGGACCCAACAAAAGCAAGACTGGGTGAGGGGGGTTGGGGGGTGTCTAGGCCAGCCTAGATGGGATGGGATGGCCTATTGTAGGATTTGATAAAATATGCATTTTGAAAACTGATGCTAAATTGTAGGAGATTTGGGGTTTCAGGCTAAGGA